TTTGGGTCCTAAGAGCAAAAGTGTCAGAATCTGGGGTTGCCAGAAGCCCCGCTTCCCACCATGGGGAGAAAGCCTAGCCCCTGTCAGTTTATGTTGGAAGCTGCCCATTGCCTTCACGCGCAGAAAGAGGTGGCAAGGAGTCCGGAAGGCTGGTCAACCTTGAGGCTCTGGCAAGGGTCAGAGCCACACACCCACCATCTGGTGGAGACAAAGGGAGCTGAAGCAACTTGTTTATAGACATGCAAATTTCTCTCTACACCCCCTCTCCCCAGAATCCAGAGAGGTGGTAGTGAGGCCAGCTTCTGGGGAAAGGAGAAGGGAGGGGGTTCCCATCGCTTAGTTGCTTAGGATGGTCACACAGCCAGAACCCAGGGTGTGTCCTGAATGACGCTGCACCCCTCCAGCTCCAGGAGCGGGATGGAGCCCTAGTCAGACAGACAGCCACCCATGGAAAGGGCTCTCTACCTGGGGTCCAGTCCAGGCCTAGCACTCAGAGAATAAACATGTGTGCTTCCATGAGAGCTGCCTTGTCCACCGCACGCCTTCAGCCTCGCCTGACTCTGATTCTTTACAAGGAGAGCTGTGTGGATGACTAATAGCAATGCAACCTTCTTGTTTATAGACATGCAAATTCTGTCTTCCCTCCCACCCCCCAGAAATGCCAGTGTTGTCTCTATTTGCACATTCATCTCAACATTTCTGTTCTTTGGGTTCTCTTTTGCACAGGTCTTTACATCTGCCTGCTTCCCTCATTAATTTGGTGAGTAGAGCAAAATCTTTAACACACACACCTCTGTTTATTTTATTTTAAGTATGTTTTTGTTTCAGAGAGTAAGGGAGAGGGAGAGAGAGAGAAACATCAATGATGAGAGAGAATCAATTGGAGAACATCATGCTGAGTGAAATGAGCCAGTCAATGAAAGAGAAACACCACATGACCTCACTCATGTATGGATAATAAAGAACATTATAAACTGATGAATCAAAAGATAGATATAGAGGCAGTAAAGCAACAAGTAGGCTGTCAAATTACAGCAGGTAGGGTAGGGAGATCTGGGGGAGATAATAGATCAACCGAAGGACTTGTATACATGCATATAAGTACAACCAATGGACACAAAACTCTGGGGAGGGGGGGAGTATGTATGGGAAGGGGGGGCAATGTTAAATTATGTACACAGATAATAAATGAATTTTTAAAAATGGGGGGGAAAATGATGAGAGAGAATCATTGATCAGCTGCCTCCTGCACGCCCCACACTGAGGATCGAGCCCACAACCTGGGCATGTGCCGTGATGGGAATTGAACTGTGACTTCTTGGTTCATAGGACAACTCTCAACCATGAGATACGCCAGCTGCCAGCCAGACCATCCATCTTTATGTTATTTTTATTTTAGGGTCTTCAGGCCCAGCTTTGGACCCAGGCTCCCAGCACCAGAGGGCCTCTTTACCCCTTCTGCTCCTCCTCCCTTTCCACCTGCTGGCTACTGGGGCCCACCTGGCTCTCCCAGTAATGGGATAATACTCAGCTGTGTGGTCAGCTGCGTGGTCTCAGGTTGAGCCAGTTATTTATAGAGCATGAGTGGGTGGTCCCGGGCTCTGGTGAGGTGGATGTGTTCTTAGCATAGTCATCTCCTCTCTCCCTCTCTCTCCCAAACAGCCCCAATGGTAGTCTTTGCTCTTTGAGTCCCAAACCACACGCTATGTAAGGAACAGAAGAATGAATATCCAAACTTACTGGTAGCCCCTCCCTTCCCCAGGGCTCCTGTCAGTGGAGCTGATTTCTACCCCTGCCTTTTTCCTGAAGTCGGCATTTCAGACAGAACTCTGCTGTCCTCCCTTTTTCCCATCTCAGGGATGCTGGCCCCTACTTCTCTCAGAGCCACCATCAGCTTCCACATTTACTGATCACCTATCAGGTGCGGGCACTGTGATGTGTGCTGTTGAAGTTTAAATAAGGAGAAGTCCCCACCCTCCAGAGACTTAGACAAGGAACTGCTTTCACACACACACACACACACACACACACACACACACACATACACACACACATACACTAAGATAAATATATGGCTAGAAGAACAACAGAACGCATTACTTGTGTACAATGTGCCAGGCATGTGTTAAATATACATATTTAACTTTCACACACAAAACAAGAGCAGATACTAACATCAAAATATGGAGGCTCTCAAACTAAGTATCGTAGCTGACACAAAATGGGGTGTCTAGCCAGCCCAGAACAATTTCTCCAGTGGCCATCCTGAGCTAGCCCCTCTCTTCCTTGCAGTAACTCTATCTCCTTCTCCAACATTTAGTGATTGATCCAAAGGGTGGTCATCTGATCCAAAGTTAGGCCAATCAGAGTCCTGCCCTCAGAATTTTTACCTGAGAACTAACTGTAGAGAAAACTTTTGTCTCTGGCCTCAGGGCTATGGGGATAAGAGTCAGCCTGATGTTGTGACACCAAAATTCATGCTTTTGTCAGAATTGTCACATAGAGAAGCTAGTCAGAGATAACTAGGATGTCACAGAGAGAAGGAAACCTAAAAACAGTCCATGCTCTGGATGGCATGGTTCAGTGGTTAGAGCATCGGCCCTGGAACCGAAAGTCACAGGTTTGATTCTGGTTAAAAGCATGTACCTGGGTTGAAGGTTCTCTGCTCCGGTTGGGGTGAGTACAGGAGGCAACCAATTGATGCGACTCTCTCACATCGATGTTTCTCTCTCTCCTCTCTGCCCTTTCCCCCTCCCTTACACTCTCTAAAATCAATGGAAAAAATATCCTTTACTGAGGATTAACAAAAAACAAACAACAGCAACAAAACAGTCCATTTAAGCCTCTTGTACCAATTACACTTACAGCAGCTCCATCCTCTCCCTCTCACGTTTGGCCCATGAGTCAATCAAAGACCCTATTTTCCTTACTCTGGTTGGAGTTGTTTTCCATCACTTGCTGCCGAAAGAGTCCTAAGGAAGCCAGGTCCCTGTACAAGGTCACAAGCTAACAAGGCGCTGGCTGCATGCCTTCCTAGAAGCCTCCTCACAACTGTGTGGCCAGCACAGGCAACGCTGTGACATATTAGAACCCTACAAGTGTTTCCTGCCTGGACTGCACAGTGCCCCCGCATGCTGAGTGGGGCCTGACCCCAACGTGTCACCCCTCTACCCCAGCTGTGTAGGACTGGTATGACCATGGGGTTCACACTTCTGCCCAACAACTGTTGAGTTCCCAGAAATGTGTTACCACGCCCCTCATGAAAGTCATACCATCATTATCACAAACCACTTATGGAGAGCTTAGGCTATTCAAGGTACTATGCTATGTGCTGTCTCATCCTCTCCAAAACCTTGCCTGGTAAGTATTGCCAATGCTGCTTTCAAAGTGGGGGAAGGGACACTCCAGAGGGTTAGTCACTTGTCCCCAAGGTCAAAAGACAGGAAGGGCCAATGCCAGACAGTGTGACACCAAAGTCCATGCTCTTAGCCAATTGGCTAATGTTCCCCTCGGCGCAGCACTGTGACCAGCTGCCCGTCCATCACAGCCTCCCAGAACTGTCGGTGTGAGCCTGGGTGTGAGGTGATTCTATCTGGCCCAGCCCACGGGTGTCATGGTTAGTCGGCGTGAGAATGCAGCGAGCCAACTTCCTAACAGGCCTCAGGTCCAAGGCCCTAACGTTAAGACCAGCAGAGGCCCATACAGGGGCTGGGGCCCTCAGTTTTCAAAAGAAGCCCCACTCGAATTCTTCAGGACAACCAGTATATGTATCTTCCTTCCCAACTCTTGTGCTCAGATGAATGTGTATTAAGAGCCACTAAGCTGAGTCACCTGCAGACTGGGAGGTGAAGGCCCCGCCCTGTTGTTTGTTTCCTATTGATGTGGCATTTGCTCACCTCCTCCTGCCTGCACCACACAGCGCCCCGGCATGCTGAGCAGGGCCTGAGCCCAAGCTGTCACTCCCTCTACCCAGCTTCATAGGAAAGAACCTGGAGTCCCACCTTCCCCAGCGCCTGGCTGTGGCCTGCACAGTTTCCCCTTTCCCCTGGACCAGTCATCCTTCCCAGAGCCGCAGCCACGGGCACCCCCCACAGCCCACGGTCCGAATGCTCCAGCCGGCTCTCTCTTGCCGGAAGAGACACAGTGGTGGGCCCACCTGTGCCACATGCACTCACCATCCTCCCTCTGTCATCTCTGCCCCATCAGCTCAGAGGTGCCTGCCTGTAGCCCACAGACCACATGTGGTGTGTAGTCAGGTTCTGCTTAGCATTCACAATGGTTTTTATATTTTAACATTCAAAAAATTGGTAGTTTCACTTAGATAACTGAATTTAAATGTTCCATACAAGGTTTTCTTAAAAACAATCGCATTTCTGACTTTCCTTGAAGCATGCCTCCCATGGGCCAGAGCCCTGCGATCTGCCTGAGCGCCATCAGCAGAGCTAAGTAGCCACACCCACCTGAAACCGGGCACAGCTCTCTGCTTCCGCAGTCTTCAGTTTGCCTGTGACCCTCACTTCCCGGCCGGTCAGACTCTGTGAACACCCAAGGCTCACACTGGAGGCCTGGGACCGCCCTCCCCCGACCTGATTGACAGCGCCCGGCCAGGATCCCAGCCCTGCATTGCCCATTTTCTCCAGGTGAGGTGTCTCAGGCAAGTCCCGGCCACTCCTGACCGAGCTCCGAATGTGTCCAAGCCCATAACCCCCTGTCCAAATGCTCCCGCTGACCAGGGACTAATGTGGATGGCCTGTGGACACCCCGCGCAGGCACTGCAGTTGAGGCCAGCCTGCAGCCTGGGATGGATCCAGACCAGCTCAGGGCCACTTCACCGTGGAACCCACTGTCCAGCTGGACTAAGGAGCAGACAGAGGCTCCCTGAGGCCGCCCAGAGAACGCCAGGCCAGAGAGAAACAGCGGGTTCAGACCGATCCCAGTGGTACCACCCCACCGCCTGCCCAGCCCCCTAACCCCCCAGCCCCCAGACGCGGGACACTCACGATGTTCATGAGGGTGAGGACATAGTTCTGCACGTGCTCCTTGCCGTGGAAGCGCACCACGGAGTCGTCCACGGCCAGCAGCACCTCGATGCTGTAGCTGCCCGGCTTGGCGTGCCGCCGCTTCCGCTCTGCCTCTCCCAGCTGGCCGCCCACCAGGCCCAGCAGGTTGGGAAGGTCGCCCGGGCCAAAGGCTGGAACCAGGATGGGAAGAGACCAAGGTCAGATCTACATAAGGGGCTGTCACTGGGACGTGGCCTGTTAACCCACCCCTGCCCCCTGTCACATGTGCCCCTGTCCTACTTCCATAAACCAGGGTAGCGTGCGGGTTTGTTCCATACCAGGTAATTGATGTACACGAGCCCTTTTCCTGCCACAGGGCATGGCTGTCTTTGAGGCAATGAGTAGCAGCAGAGAAGTGGAAACTAACCTGGGCCCTGGTTCCTACGTGGTCCTATCTCACTGTGCATCCTGGCCCAATCTCTGTCCAGGCCCTTCTCTGGACCTCCATCTCCCCTCCCATGACTTGCGAGTGGTAATTCTCCATCTCTTGCCCCAGAAGCTTGCTATAAAAAAGCCAGGGTGCAGTGGGTGGAAACATCTTGATAAAGGAAAAAAAACTAAAATATTACTGTGGCCAACGCAGGACATTTTAGACACCCCTAGAGCATTCCCTGGGCCTCTCAAAACCCTCCCAATCACTGCCAGTGACCCCAAATTTCACCATCACAGCATTGGCCTTTTTTGCTAAAAACTAAGTATTTCTATAACTAGAATGTGTTAACTTGTGTTGATTAATCTTAGGAGTTGTCAAAACTTTCCTGTGAAGAACCAGACAGGCTGTGTGAACGATAGAGCCTTGTCTGTGTTGCAATAAAACTTTACTGACAAAAACAAGTGGTGGCTCTGAGGACAGGGCACCATGAACCACAAGCCTCAGTGCTACTGTCTTTTCATTTTGCCTTTGGTTGGGGAGCTAGAATACAAAAGGAAAACAGCACTAGACTTCAGGGCTGAAAAAACACGTGTGGCCACTGGCCTCCTGGGGAACCCAAAAAGGGAGGCCGGCCTTGGGGCGATCGCAGCCTGGCGAGCAGGGCTCAGGCCGCCGCTGCCCCCACTTATCCCTGAGACCACGGTGTTTCTCTGCAGGTCACACTGAACAGCAGCTCCTGGCGGCCCTGGTGCCTGAGCCTAATGGTGTGTTCAGCAACCCATAGACCAATTCTGGGAGAGAGGAGGGAGGAGGGAGGACCCAAGAGGGAAGGAACAGCGTGGAGTGGGGAGGGCCAGGAGCAATCGCTCCCAACTTAGGAGCAGTGCCCGAGGGTTCACGTGCTGCAGGTGAAACGTGGAACTTGACCTACACCGCTCTCCTTGCCAGGGGAGTCCACGGGAGGCTCAGAGAGGTTACTGGCATCTCAGGTCACACAGCCAGTTCATGGCAGAAGCCCAGGATGTGAACTCGGATCTGCCACTCGCCCGTTATCACAGCCTGTCAGGGTCCACCCGATGGCTCTCTCAGCAAAAACAGCGAGGGGATTAGGGGGAGGGCCTACTCGCATCAGCCATAGACCCTGGCGATGTCCCAGCCACACCCTCTTCTATGGATCGCTCCCCCTTCAGGCCACAGGAGGTGACCCTCAAACCGTGGAGGCCGCCGGGAAGCCCACCCAGGAAGCCTCAGGAGAATACGGGATGACGCAGCTGCTTTGAAAAACCGTTCGGCAGTTTCCCAAAGAGTGAAACATAGAATTAGCATTGGACCCAAAAACTCTACTCCTAGGCATGCGCCCAAAAGACCTGGAGCCACATGTTCCATAAAAACCTGTACACAAATGTTCACAGCAGCATGATCACAAAAGGAAACTATGGAAACCACCCAACTTGTCTATCGACAGAGGAATAAGCTAATCGGGGTGCATTCCTACAAGGGAATATTGCCCTGCCGTAAAGAGGAGGGAAGTACTGATACAGGCTCCCACACAGATGAAACTATAAGCTAAATGGAAGAAGCCAGGCACCAAAGGTCACCTGCTATAGAATTCCATTCACAGGAGATGTCCAGAACAGGCAAACTTATAGAGACAGAGGTAGGTTAGAGGAGCGGGGAATGGGAAAATGGGAGTGGCTGCTAATTAATGGGTACAGAGGTTTACAGGGAAATGTTCTGGAATTAGATAGTGGTGATGGTTGCACAACACTGTGAATATAGTAAGAAACCACTGAATTGTACACTTTAAAATGGTTAACATAGTGGATTTCATTTCAATTAAAAAAAAACAAACAAAAAAAAAAAAAACCAGCAACCTTGAGTCTAAGCCTGGCTGGCTGCCCTGGCGTCTGGCAGCCCCAGCCTCCAGCCCAGAATGGGAACTCTGGCCACAGGCGCACATGGCCTGTTGGCATTCAGGAGGGAAGGGGAGGGTGGGAGAGGGCGACAGAGAGAAGGACCAGGGGTTGGGGAAGGAAAGGATAGCACTGGGAGCACGGGGACATCCAGAGCATACCCTCTATGCCGAGGCAGGGTCCACAGGGGATCCCTGAGGGGCGGGGGTAAGGCCGGAATGTCTACTCAGGACTTGGAGCGGTTTAGATTGCTCACCAGAGCCCCTGAAAGGACCACATAACACTTCTTTGGAGCCCATCAAGGGTGTGTGTGCTGGGTGGGGTGGGTGGGATGGGGTGGGGTGTGAGTGGGTATGAGTGTGTGTGAGTGAGTGTTAGTGAAGGTGAAAGCCGTGTGACTGTGCGTGTGAGGTATATGACAGGTATGTGTTGTAGGTTAGTGAGCGAATGTGTACAGGTGAGTGTGTCAGCGTCAGGTGCGTGCATGTTCTCTTCAGAAAGCAGCGACCAACACCATGCCCCCCTGGAGTGCCAACAAGACTCACGGGGGCACCTCAGACCCCTCTGCTGTGAAGCAGCTGGAAAACCACGATGGATCCTCTGCCGCCTCCTTTCCTTCCTTGAGGAGAGTTAGACACCGGCCCCCCAGAACAGAGCAGCTCATGGGAGGGACACAAACATCTTGGAGACGTGGTGTCTGTCCCCTAGGACACTCTCACACTGGCTTGTTAGGAGGAAGGGGACAGGCCCAGGAGGAATCCCGGGGGCTGAGGGGTCCAGGAGAGAGGACATCTGAGCTGAGCCAACTCCTGGGCAGAGAAGGGGGAGGTGCTCAGTCTGGGGGAGATTCCTCAAGTGTGGCTACTGCAGCAAAGCAGGCACTGACCAGCTGGCCCAGGCCTCCATGTGCCAAGTAAACCCAAAGACGTGAGGCAAACCCCTTCTTCTTCATCAGGAACGTTACATGGAGACAGGCACTCCCAGAAACGCTGCTCCACACACTGGGCTCGACCCACGGCTGGTGTTAAAACAACAGAGTAAAGTCACAGGTTTCCAAGAAAGTCTTCGCTGTCCCTTGTCTTTCTAAGGAAGAGCCCAGATGGGCCCAGGGCATGGCATCGCCTGCGGCCCCCAGGAGCTTCAGAGGGCACAGCCTGATGAGAGGAGTCACATGGAGTTCCTGGCGGGAGCTCCAAATCCGCCAGCTCAGCGGTCTCCGCTCCCCAGCCACAGCCCACTGCAGGCGACGGGCTTGGTCCAGCCAGGCGGTAAGCTGGGCTTCCCCAAGGCCATGCCCCACACGAGGATTCAGGATCATTTGATTCAAAACTGGATAGAGAGTCCGTCTGTGGACTGAAGGGTCCCAGGTTCGATTCTGGTTAAGGGCATGTACATTGGTTGTGGGCACATCCATGGTAGGAGGTGTGCAGGAGGCAGCTGGTCGATGTTTCTCTCTCATCGATGGTTCTGGCTTTCTATCCCTCTCCCTTCTTCTCTATGAAAACTCAATAAAATAAAATAAAATTAAAATTAAAATTAAAAAACCTGGCCTCCAATAAAATGGAGCCCAATGAGGCTTGTCACTCCCCCCTGCCGTGATGAAGGGAACGGTGTCCATCACCACCCTGTCCCTGCAATCCCCCCGACACTCCCGGCCGGCAGAGCCCTCCTCCTCCCGGCTGGTCCTGGAACGGCGGCTTCTCTTCTGAGGGACACGGAGCGCAGCTGGAGCTTCAAAGGAGGCGCTGTCTGTGGGGACAGCTGGCTTTCAGTCATTCCTTCACGCTGTGCTCACTCTCCCGGGCCCGGGCTGGTGGGTGTGGAGCTCAGGGCTGGATTCCTCCCAGGACCTCCTCGTGTCCTCTCGGCCAAAGCCTTGATGACAAGGCGGAGTTGGACAGTGAAGCTGGCCGCGGGCCCAGGACCAGCACACGTTGCATCCATTGCCTCATCCGCTCAGCCATGGGGTCCTGATGGCTATGCTGATCACCGCGATGCGGGGACACCCTCATGTGTCAGCAGTCAGCCTACTAACACCAGTAGAATAAGAGCAACCCTTCAGCATGCACCTACCACCTGCCAAACTCCATGCTGGAACTTCCACACACACAATCTCAGAGGTGAACGACAATTGTCCTCACTTGACAGATTAGAAAACAAGGCTCAGAGGTGTTAAGTAACTTGCTTAGGGTCACACAGCAGACAGCACTAGAGGCAGGATTTAAAAATAGTCTAGTGGACACCACGCTGGCCCAGATGCCCCATCACGAGACAGATTCCCTGGGAGCACCCTAAGAACTTCCCTCCTGTGGCCCCCGGGGTGGAGTTAGGGTTAGAGGAAAGAGCTGGCTACAGCTATTCCACCTACTGCGTGGGCCAAGAAATAGCCTTGCCAAGCAATGCTGAACTCCTCAGAGACCTCTGCAGCCCCAAGTTCCACAGTTCCAGAGGCTCCAGTAGCTCCTCTAGCCCCCCATGGCAGATAGTTATAACAACCTCTAAAACCCACTAGTTACAGTAGGTGCAATAGGTCAACTGGGCCCAGTCCCATTTTACAGATGAGAAGACTAAGGCCAAGCACTGAGTGGCTTAAGGCCTCACGTTACCTAAAAACACCCCAGAGGTCCGAACAGAGGCAGAGCGTGGGGCCCTGCCCGCGGCCTACCTTCGTTGTGAAGGTCCCCTCCGGGCTCCGCCCACTCCTGCTGGACAGCTTCCCGGCGGTACACCACGTGCGTCCTCCCGCCTGCCTCCTTCTCTCGCTGCCCCCGCTCCAGGGGCTCGATGAAGTAGTCAGTGACGTCTGTGCGGATGAGGCCGGCCTGAGCAGTGGGCAGAAGGAAAGGGGGAGACAGAGAAGAGGCATGAATACGCGGCACAGAACAAGGGAGCATTTGCAACTGCACACGTATGTGACCATATGTGTGTGACCACACGTATGCAGGCTCTTCTTCCAGGGCCTTGGGGAACTCTGGAATCCAGCAGGCAACTGGGAGGGCCTGTAAGGAGGCTGCGCCAGGGAGCCCACGCCCATTTCAAGATCAGCAGACCCACTTCCACTGTGCTGTGCACTCACAGGGTTCCACAGAACGTTTCATGTAATCAAGGAGTTCCAGTGCTAAAGGGGGGAACCACTGCCATGAGGGACATGCTCATACCCTAGGGCAGTGGTCGGCAAACTCATTAGTCAACAGAGCCAAATATCAACAGTGCAACGATTGAAATTTCTTTTGAGAGACACATTTTTTAAACTTAAACTTCTTCTAACGCCACTTCTTCAAAATAGGCTCGCCCAGGCCGTGGTATTTTGTGGAACAGCCACACTCAAGGAGCCAAAGAGCCGCATGTGGCTCTCGAGCCGCAGTTTGCCGACCATGGTACTAGGGCACCACATTCCACCCCAAAGCACTGCCACTATCATGTGGGTTTGCCTCTACCGTCAGGCAGACGGAGGGGAAAATCCTATCGGTAAAGCCTAATTATCTCGAAGGTGGGAGCTGGTCCCCAGCCCCCCGCCCCGTCCACTACAAAGTGCTATTATTTCAGATTGAAAGCATGTGGTATGCAAGCCAGGGAGAGCAGCTGTTTGCTGACGATAAACGAGCCAGAACAGTGCCCCAGGAGCGCGTGCTCTGCTTTCAATCTAAGTCTTTGCATCAAAATGTTCTCTTTAAAAAATCAGGTATTGGCCTTGGAAATAAAAACATATGACCTTGGCCAAGCCCAGCCAATATGTCATTAGGCGATTGCAATAATCCCGGGGGCAATGAAACCTGTAACGAGATGTATATGAATGCATGTGTGGCTGCACAGCCCTGCCCCCACACACGTGTCAGCTCTATAAAACTAGTGAGACCAGCCTACCTCCCACAGTGCCTGGAAAATAGTAGGCAATCCTAAATACATAAATAAATAAATATAAATTTGTTGAATTCCTTCACTCCAACAAATATGTATTGAGTGCCTACTGCATACCAGCACTGCTTTAGACACTGGCAATACAGCTGTGAACACAAAGCAGTGAATGAAGGAATTGTGTTCATAAATCTGTGCAACCGCCCTAGCCAGTTTGGCTCAGTGGATAGAGTGTCGACCTAAAGACTAAAGGATTCTGGGTTTGATTCCGGTCAAGGTTGCATACCTCGGTTGCAGAATCGATTCCCAGCCCTGGTCCGGGTGCACACAGGAGACAACCAATCCACGTGTCTCTCTCATATCGATGTTTCTCTCTCCATCTCTTCCCCTTCCTTCCACTCTCTCTAAAAAAGCAACGGGAAAATATCCTTGGGTGAAGATTAATTAGTTAAATAAATAAACAAGCAAATAAATCTGTGGGACCTTCCCTGTCCGAATAGGAGCGCCTCTTTTCCAAGCAGCTGAGCTCCCCAGCTTTCCCACCCTAGCCCATTTGGAGATTGCTCCTCAGGGAACCGGGCCGAGTCCAGCGGAGCACTCACCGCGGAGCCTCCCAGCAGCAGCTCCCGTCCCTTCCAGCTATGTCTGCTGGTCAAACTGAAAACACCATCTGGATCCAAACTAAGACGGCTGCCTCTACCTCATAAACAGACCCAACCAGGAGGCCAAACACCTTCCTGGGGGAAACAGCAGGATTGTACTGGAACAAGCTTGGGGCTCCCCATGGTATCCACAGTACAAGGCAATACTCAATGGTCTGCAAACGTTCGGGTCTGCTTATTAAGATGTCAACATCAAACCTTACACTGTGCGTCCTTCCTCTCACTCAGAGCACTTGTATGGTTTTGCTTTTGCACCTGCTGAATGCCAAGGGCAGGGAGACAGAGAATAAATGAGGCCCAGCTTTTGGCTTTGAGTTGCTCATCGCCTGGAGAGAAGGGCCTGCAGAAGAGCAGAGCGGGGCCATGTGCTGTGCCCGGTGCTACAGTGGGTACACCTGAAGGACAGGCATCCCTCAGGCTCTCAGGTGCAAGGGACAAACGTTCAACTTGAACCCCCTTGGCCCCAAGTGCAGGGCATTGGCCCCATGACAAACCATGGCAGGGGCAGGCGCTGGAAGAGCCCTCGGTTTCCTCTCCGGCCCGCCTCTCAGCACCTTCTGCATCAGCTTTGGTAACAGAGTCCACTCTTGCCGACACACCTCCACCCTGCCACCAGAGACAAGGAGACTTCCTTTAATCTGCAACAGGGAGACTGGTTGGTCCAGCCTGAGTCACATGGTCACCCTGGGACTCACAGACCCTGCTAGACCCCCACGGCCAGTGGAAGGGAGATGACGAAGAGAGAAGCTGTGGCAGAAGCCACCTGAGTTGGAACGGGCAGTCCAGGTAGGGGTCTGGGCAAGCTGTGGAAGCATAAAGGGCAGTGTGGGGACCCGGGAGGCATTCAGGCTCATGGGCAGAGGCTGAACCAGAACCTGGATAAGTGTGGCCAAATCAAAGAGCCTGGCCACGCCCATTCCTCTTTCTGTGCCCCTCACTGACACCCAGGGGGATTGTCCTGTCCCGTTCAAGGCTACGCAGGGCAGAAGATCTTCACAGCACGAGTCAAAAGGCCTGTTTCATTCCTACAAACCCAGGCTCGCTGAGGGCTGCAGCCTATGGTGGTTCTGCAGATTGGACCACCAGATCTCAGTACCTCATATGAGGGATGGGGGTTCCGGAAAATCACATACGGTAGCCTAGGACTGGGCTTCGAGGCACTGCCTTCCAGCCCAGCCTCCCTGCCCACAATCATGGACCACACCGACCTTTCAAGGTCCCCTGGCTGCCTCAGTCTGGGGCTTCAAACCCTCAACAACATCCTCAATGAGGAGATTTCTAACTTTAGTTCAGATGCCTCTAGTGATAGGGAGCTGCCTCCCTCAAGACGTAACCTTTTTTTTAATGTAAGGACACTCAATGTTTCATTGCTCTAAAACACACTTGCCTACATTCTACCTTTTATAAAGTCTTATTATCATAATAACAGGATCTGCCACTTTCATTTACAAATCTTAATTCCCCTTTACAACAATCCTATGGGGTTGCCACAAATACTAGACCCTCTTCATGTGGGTGAGGAAGCAGAGGCTCAGAATGGGTAAGCAACTTGCCTAAAGTCACCCAGCAGTGACAGGACTAGAACAAGAGCCCAGTTCTATGTGGCCCTTCACCACTGGGCTAATCCTGGGCCCTGCTTCTCTGCCCTTGGGGACCACTTGGAACAAAGAAACTTTTCTTTCATAATCATTTGCCTATCCCTAGGCCTCTGGTCTGGTCTGACCTTGAAGAGCCAGCAAGATGTTCACTCCCCACAGCTAGGCAAAAAAAAAAAAAAAAAAAAAAAGCTCCAAAGGAAGTCAGGCCTCCTCCCACTGTGGCATGGGAATGAGAAGTTTCAGCACAGAGCCCTAAAGGGGCAGCGCCCTCTCACTCCCCGGAGACCTCACCCCTCGCCCCTCACCCCTCACACACCCTCACACACCCTCAGCACACCGGAGTGGAAGCACCAGGATTCCTGAGCCTGGCTCAGCCCCCACGCCCCCCACAGGCCTCTCTCCGGGAAGAGTTAAACAACCCCCCTTTCCCCACCAGCTTCACTGTTTAGGGCAGACAGCCTGGAAGGGTTCAGCATCTTTGTGACTCTGGGTTCCTGCAGTTTCCGCCCTGGATCAAGGACAGAACTTCCCCAGCAAGTTCCCTGTCCATTCTGTGCCTCGTGTCCAGTCTCTTTTTCTTTCTTTCTTTTTAAATATATTTTATTGATTTTTTTTTTTTTTTTTTTTTTTTTTTACAGAGAGGAAGAGAGAGGGATGGAGATTTAGAAACATCAATAAGAGAGTATCATTGCCAAAACCGCTTTGGCTCAGCGGTAGAGCGTCGGTCTGCGGACTGAAAGGTCCCAGGTTCGATTCTGGTCAGGGGCATGTACATTGGTTGTGGGCACATCCCCAGTGGGGGGTGTGCAAGAGTCAGCTGGTTGCTGTTTCTCTCTCATCGACATTTCTAGCTCTATCTCTCTCCCTTCCTCTCTGTAAAAAATCAAATAAAATATATTTTGAGAGAGAGAGAGAGAGAGAAAGAGAGAGAGAGAGAGAGAATATCATCGATTCTCCTACTGGGGATGTGCCTGCAACCACGGTACATGCCCTTGACTTTTCAGTCCGCAGGCTGACGCTCTATCCACTGAGCCAAACCGGTTTCGGCCTCATGTCCAGTCTTGACAGGCCATTCTTGTCCAGGCCTGGGGGCCCCCCACCGCTGAGACCCTCCTCCTAGAGCCGCTCGGCCCCAGGTCAGGCGGCAGGCTGGGCCGGCCTTCGGTTCCCCCCTCCACACCACGAGAGGTTTGGCCCACGATCCCCGCAGCTCTGGCCTGGCCAGGAAACCAGGCCCCATGCAGGGCAGACAGACTGGCAACGGGAACGTTCTGGCTCTCCGCCCCTTTGCCAAATGACTCCAGTCTCTCAGTTTATGAGATGTTTATGTTTCTGAAAAGTGGCGGCTAATTTTAAAGCTCTAAAATCAAATCGGATTTCTGCGTTTAAGAAAAAAGGCGGGAAATTAAGTTCTGGTAAGTTGGGAAAGAAATGTCAGCCAATTCTGTTTTCACCCTTATACTTTAGTCACGTCCTCGGGCAATTTCTCCAAGTGGAAACTCTCCAATGGGCAGTCCTAACCCCCCTCAGCCAAGCTCAAGACCTTTAATGTAACTGTTCTGAGGGGCCTTTTCTAGAAGGTGACTAGCTGGTGGGGGAGGCCCATTTGGCTTTTCCAATATGACGGTGACACTGTCTTGGTTGTGAAGGGGCCACCTTCTGCCACCTCTTCATGCAGCGGCCTCCAGGCCACACTAACTAAGGTTT